GGCTGCACACAGACCTACTATGTGCCAGCACCCCACTGGAACCTATGGATGGAGACACAGTATGGGGCCCATCTCTGTTCCAGGAGCCCACAGCACACAGAGGGCAGCATTATCGGTCCCAGCTTACAGGCCAGAGGGTGGGTGACCCGTGGCTGTGGCAGCAGGGGACATGGCCACAGAACCTGACGGGATCAGAGCTTCCACGCTCTGCTTTTCTCCCCGTGGACCCCCGTTTGGAGACATTTCACTTCCTGGGTAAGTGCATGTTAGTGGGTCACAGTTGGTGAGAGATCTCAGTCTCTGTCCAGTGAGGACTGTGGTTCAGAGCTCCTGCCCTGTGGGGTATCTGCCCTCCCTCCCTGAGCAAGGCCCCTCTGGGATGGCTGGTCAGCACTTCTGTGCTCCTACACAGAGTGGTAAGTACACTGTCCCGCACCTCTCATTGTCTGAAGTGAGATGGGCGGCCCAGATAAGCTAGCCTGCTCCCACTGGGAAGAGAAATCTGCCCAGCAACAGTGCTGACGGTCAGCTGTTGGCACTTTGATTGGACGTACCAGCCAAAGTCCATTCTGATTGGCTGGCATCCTTTTGTCCAGCCGGCATTTGTCAATACCCGCCAATACCTGTTGGGTGGCCGCATGGGGATCAGAGGGCAGAAATCAGGGCCAGTTCTGACCACAGTTGGGTGTATCAGAGGACCCACATCATCTTCAGCTGTAAATCTGAAGAGCTGCACTCCTTAGTAATGAATCTGAATTAGGCCGGCCCCTCTATCCTGCAGAGACAAGAGTGGCCTGGTGCTAAGCGACGCAGTCTCAAAACGAGAAATTTCCTGAGAAGTCAGAGCACCGATTCAAGGCCAGGGACGCATCACCTGGGTGGGGCTCCCTGGTTCAACCAGGGAACTTGGGTTGAGGGGGGTCCCCACCGAACTCCTCCCTAGGAGAGCTCCCTTTCATCCTCGGCCTCCAGGAATCCCCACATACAAGTGTTCGAGAGCCAGTGATCAGCACAGTGAATGACCAAGAACAGGCAGAAGCGATATGCCACAGGCACCCGGATAGGCTTGGGTGCTGGAACTGTTAACATCGTGGAAGATGGTGGCTGGCTGGTCCCTTCACCCTCAGCCTTCCTACAATCCCAAGTCCCGCATTGTTGGGCTCGGCCACACGACTCCAGATGACTGAAGCCCGGACCACGGAACATGCATAATAACATGTGCCTTCCGGGCCCCACCTGTACAATCCTCCTGTTTGACCTTTCATGCTCTCATCTGCATGCCTGGCATGGACCCAAAGCTACAGGAGCCTTAGGAGCCATGGGCTGATGGGCAGAAGGCACCAGAACAAGGGGCCCAGGTCCCATTTCACCTCTTGGAGGGAGCTGCCAGGAGAGAAATGCGTGCAGGGCACCACTCTGTGGGCCATGAACGAGCTCGTAGGAGTTTCGGCCAGGACGTCTGGAGGTGCGTGATCAGTGGCTAGTGTTACCGCAGACACAGACTATAAAACAACTAAGCTTGCTGTGTTTGAAGAAGCAAAAGCTTGAAAATATCAGCACACAGCAGGAAGCTATATAAAATGATGACAAATTTTCAAAAAGCAGACAGAATGGAGCACAGAGAAACCAATACACAGGATGTGTGAAGGAAACCGTGAGATCTGGTATTTGCTGGAGCTCTAGGGTAAGTGACATAGTGAGATGGAGTCAAGATCAAGGACCATATCTGAAAGTCTGAAAGGACAGGGGCTGAGAACCTGCCAGAACTGATGGGAAAAAATTCAGATTCAACAATCCCAGTGAGTCCCAAGAAAAAACAAACAAACAAAAAACAGAAAACCTCACCTACACATGATAGTAAAATTGCAGAAAACCGGAGGAGAGAAATTTTAAGAGCAGCCAGAGAGGAAAGACGGGTTACCTCCAGCAACAGCAATGAGGCTGACAGTGACCGGTGGCCACGGAAGGCAGGGAACAGGGGGACGTGCTCCGTGGACAACAGCTGCAAGAAAGTAACTGCCAGATCAGAGTCTACGCTTGGTATCCGTGTATTCCAATATGGCATCTTAAGACTAACCAAAACTGGGGCGCCTGGGGGCACAATCGGTTGAGCGTCAGACTTCGGCTCAGGTCATGATCTCACACCTCGTGAGTTCGAGCCCCCTGTCGGGCTCTGTGCTGACAGCTCAGAGCCCGGGGCCTGCTTCGGACTCTGTGTCTCCCTCTCTCTCTGACCCTCCCCCGCTCATGTTCTCTTTCAAAAATAAACATTAAAAACAAACAAAAAGACTAACCAAAACTGCTATTCGTATCACCAGACTCTCCTGCGGTGTCAAAACGCAGGCTCGTGGGCCCTGCTGCAGACCGCCTGCCCAAGCGGAAATGGACGGAGGGCCCTGAGACCTAGCCACGGCCAGGGGACCCTTAGAGCCTCCTGTTGGTGACGTTAGAGGGTGTGGAATAAGGTAGGGCTTTGCAAGACATTGTGCTGGACAGGCTGATGGGCGCCAAAGGCTCTGGTGTGCAGCCTGCTGGCAACGGGGAGCCACGGCAGCTTCTAGGTAGGGAAGGGACGACCAGGTTTAGACAGATCATTCTGCCAGCCAAAGAGAACAGACTGGAGGCAGGGAAGGTGGGTGGAAGGAAACCCATTAAAAACTGGCTGCAGGAGCCCACAAGACAGGCAGTGGACGCAACGAAGCGTCATGATGTCACAAGTGCAGTGTCCTTGCCCCATCACGACACAGCCGACCCGCTGGCAGTGGACGTGCAGGTTCAGGACTCAGAAGTCTGGGCAGAAGTCCTGAGCTTGTCAGCGGGAGGGTGCTGTGTGAAGCCAGAGGAAGGATGTGGGCAGAGCAGGCCAATCCACACAACCGCAGGGACACAGCAGGTCAAGAACACGGAGTAAAGCAAGAAGCTAACATGTCAACCACCTTCTTGGTGAACGACACACCATGTCTCTGTCAGCTCTCAACAGCCTGGTGGAGCCCATCTATAACCCAGTGGGGTCCCAGGACCCACCCGGGGTGCAGCGGCCTGTAGTGGTCGGGCCAGGACCTGGCCAGTGTCCCTCGGTGAAGGAGGCGAAGGGTGGAATCCATCAGGGCTGAACCATGAATGTAAAGTCTGCCCAAGACAGCACCAGCTGCTCTCCACGGAACTGCCCAGAACAGGTCGCCCGGCCGTCCATACACGTTTCTCTCCCTCCACCGGTGTCTCTGAAGGGCACAGGCTTTCCAGAGGCCGTGGGGCCTTCACCTCTAGGGTGAACACTGGGTGTGACAAGTTTTACCAAATGCTTTTCCTGCACCTGTCGACACGAGCATGGGATTTTTCTCCATTAGCCTGTGGATGTGACGGCTTGCACGAACGGACGTTCAAATGCTGAGCCAGCCTTGCACGTCTGGGACGAATCCCACTGCTTGTGGTGCACAACTCGTCTTCTACGTTGTTGGGTTCGATTTGCTAACATTTTGACGACACCCACCATCTATGTTCATGAGACATTGGTCTCTAGCGTTTTCTTGGAAGATGTCTGGTTTGGGTGTCAGGGTGACGCTGGCCTCGTAGAACTAGCAGGAGGCGTTCCCTCTGCTCCGCCCTCTGGAAGAGATGGCAGGGAAGGACTTCTTCAAGGGTCTGGTAGAGTTCACCAGCACACGCATCTGGGCCTGGTGCTGTCTGGGAAAGTTACGAATTATTGACTTCATTTCCTTAACTAAAGGCTTATTTATTTCTTCTTGTGTGACTTTTGGCAACTTGTTTCTTTCAAGGAATTGGTCTGTCTCATCTAGGTCACCCAACCTGTGGGCCCAAAGCTGTTCACAATATTCCTTCACTATTCCTTTATTTTTTCAATTTCCATGGGACCTGCAGTGAGGGGCCTTTTCATTGCTGCTATTAGTGATTTGTATCCCCTCTCTTTCAGTCAGACTGGCTAGAGGCTTATCAATTTTATTGATCTCTTCAAATAATGTCTTTGGTTTGGATGATTTTTTCTTTTGACTTCATTCTCAATTTTAACTGATTTTGGTTCTAATTTTTATTTTCCTGCTTTAGACTTAATTGGATCTTCTTCTTCTAGTCACCTAAGGTAGAAACCTATTGATTTTAGATGTTCCCTCTTTCCTAATCTCTGCATTCAATGCTGTAAACTCAGAGGGCTGAGCACTGCTTCATCCCACAAACCTTGATAAGCTGTATTTTCACTTTTACTTCGTCGGAAATATTTCTAAATTCCATCTGCAATGTCTTCTCTGACCACGCCGGCTGCTTTAGAACACCAGGACACTTACCGCCAGGAGGCCAACGGGAGATTCTCCATCTTACAGATGACAAAACAGGTTCTAAGAGGAAGTGACGAGCCCAGGGTCACCCAGCCCAGAGACGGCAGAGCTAGGACTGGTGCAGCCGTGTGGCCCCCTGGGTACTGGCCTGGTGTCGCCACCAGCAGCTCTCCCTGCCTGCTCCGTAGAGACAGCAGACTCTGAATCACTACAACCTGACAGTGATCCCGGGGGTTCAGAGGCTGGGAACCTGGCCTCGATCCGACCCGGGGTCACTATCACAAGGGGCCGGAACCCAGGGCTGAATGCTCTCCTGCCCGAGCCACTGTCTCTCTGACACCTGGGCACCCCTGGGGCACAGTGGGGTCCAAGTGGAGACCCCCAACACGTACTCCCATGAAGCACACGCCTGTCCGGCCAAGAAATCCCTCCTCAGTCGCTTCTCCAAAGCCCCCTGGGTCTGGCACTCGCACCTACCCCGGGGCAGCCTCCAAACACAGGCCGGCTCAGCGGCGGGACCAAACGCCGTTTATTTTGAGTAAAAAATAAGCCTCTTCTTTAATAGTACATCAAAAGGGACTCTTCAGCCTTGCTGGTCTCACCTGGTCCTGGCCTCCCCAAGAGGTCCCTCGTGCAGCCAGGCCAGGCTAGAGCTCTCTGGGTGACAGGGTCGCAAAGAAGGGCCGTAAGGGAAGGCCCGGGGAGGCTGCCTCAGTAGCAGTCCGCCTCGTCCTCCCCCAGAGCGCCCACCGTGGCCAGCATGTCCTGCAGGAGCGACTGAGGGCTCTTTTCTACGCGGTCGCTGCTCTCGGCCAACACGCCCCGAAGGCCCTCCAGGTCCATAGACCTCAGCACAGCCACCACGACCTCGGGCTCCAGGTACCCCAGCGGCTGGCCCTGATCACCTGCCTGCCACCTCTGCAGGGCGGCCTCCACAGAGGCCACCTCAGGGACACTCCCAGACCCCTGCGGGCCGCTGTAGGAAGCAGTCTGGGCCCTCAGGAAGAGGAGAAGGTCACAGGACTTCTGAGCCACGGGTCGGTCACAGTCAAACAAGGCACGAAAGGCAAACTCGAAGAGCTGCACTCGGCAGAGTGGCCGCAGGGCCTGGGCCAGTGGGCTCGGCGGGGCCGCCACGGGCGGGGTCACGGCATAGGGACAGTGGGAGCTGGGTCGGCCCAGCGTCTGCTCCAGGAACACCAGTGCCAGCTCAAGGCCCTGAGCCCGGACCTCCCAGTCCAGATCCTGGCTCGCCACCTGGAGCACCCTGGCCACAAACCGTTCCGTGTCCCCTGCCACGTCGGCGTGCCCGTCCCTCAGCCACTGGGTGAAGACGTGCATGACAGCCCTCCGGGGGAATCCCTCTGAGTCTGTGGACAGGATGTGCAGGAGCTCCGCGAGCAGGCTCTTCTGAAGGACAGAGCGAGAGACGGTGGGAGGGGGGCGCAGAAGCCAGAGCTCCTGCTGACGAGCACCTCCGGCGGGTCTGGGGGCTAGTGCTGCTTTTCCCCGCGGCCCTCCATTCGCTCACGTATTGAAGAGGGAGGTGACCACGCCCGAGTGACAGGGGTACTTAGAAGCAGAGCCAGAGATTCAGGTGATGCGGCCGACTGGCCCCTGGCCCCAGACCACCCATGACTGGGTGGTGACCCACTGGACCCTGAGGGTGAAGACAACGGCTGGACGTGAACTACCTGGCCTCGGGACCCACCACCTCCTACCTGCTGGCCCCCTGGGTGTTCGGGGCTGGCGGGGGTGACGCGCAGCCCCTGGCTGGAGAGCTGTCCCATGGCGGCCACTGCGCTCGCACGGACGTAACTCTCAGGGTCTCGCAGGAGCTGCTCGGTGAGCTCGGGCACCTCGGAAGCGAGGAGTGCGTGTCTGAAGCCAGCCTGCCCTAGGGGTCCAAGCGACCACGACCAGCTGTGACCAAGGGCTGAACTTGTACCTTCCTTCCTTCCCTCCTTCCCCAAGGGCAGCCTAGGCGGTTGGGTTCCCAAAGCCAAGAGGAAACAACCAGTGTGCTCAGGCCGAGCCCGCCCTCCCGCAGCCACCCCTGCGCGCCCCTGCACTCACCTCCCCAGTGTCCGATCATCTGGGTCAGGAACTCGAGGCCAGAGTCCCTCACCTCCCAGCAGGGGCTGCACAGGCGCTTAGGCAGCACAGGGAGAAGTTCTGCAGTGGGAGGGGCAGCTCAGGGCGGCCCAGGCCAGACCCGCCTTACCCCGGGCTGCCCCACACCCATGACCCGCTCCGGCGTCCCCGGGCAGGGCCAGGCTACCTCTTAGGAACAGCTGGGTGTGGGGATCCAAATCACTGCAGCCAGGGGTCTCAGGTGAACTCTGGAGCCACCGGAACGTGGCCTGGAAGGCCTTCTTCAGAACCTGGAGCAGGCAAAGCAGGGCTGCAGGGCCAGGACCGGTGAGGGGCGAGCTGGCCTGCCTGCCGGCCCCCATCTGCCCCCGCTGTGCTCCTTCCCCTGCTCAGGGGCACAAGGTGGGACCCCAGGCTCAGGAAGAAGGAAGCACTGCGTTTCATTTTTCCAAGGCAGAAGCACCGGGCAGCGGCTGAACGGGCATCCCGGGTCACGAGACAGGACGTGGCAGCTCTCAGCAGGATGCCCCACTACCGGGGAGACAGGATTTCCGCACCAAGACCCAGAAACTCTCCAAGGCCTCCTCTCCTCAGAGCCCCAGGAACCCACCAGGCCTCTTGTCCCAGTCTCTAACTGCCTGCTTGATGGCAGGTGGCAAACGCTGATGGAGTTTAGATCCCAAGTGCAGGGCGGCCCGGCTCTAGAGTCCTTCCGTCACAGAGAATTCTCTGCTTTCCATGGCCCATGGTCCTCACCAGCCCTGGACAGTCCCCGTGCCACTGCCCGCCCCTCCAAATTCACCTTAAGGAGCGACTCTGGCCCCACAGAAGGCCCTGTCCTGAGCGGCCTGCAGAGGTTCTCCCCACGCGCTTCCCCCTCCTCCCCACGCTCCTCCCCCTCCCAGCCCTCCCCGCCACACCCTGTGCCTGTACCGTGGGGCTGGAGTCTGGGCTTGTGAGATATTCCAGAAGGACAGCGAACACCTGTGTCACCAGCTCTCGGGGACCTGAGACAGACAGATGAAGCACCCGACCTTCCCTTCCAGGGGCCTCCCCAGCAGAGTGTGTCAACCCAAGGAGAGCAGGGGAAAGAACCCACCGGCCAGCTGAACCCGCTGTGCCCTAGAGAAGACACAGAGGACGGCAGCCCCAGGTGCAGCTAGCGGCAGGCAAGCGGGGCCCGGGGGGGGGCGGGGGGGGGGCACTCTTGCTCACCTGTCCCCTGAGACAGCGTCCCCAGGAAATCGAGGGCCGCTCGCTGGACCCGCACACAGCCCACCAGGAACGCACAGAGGTGGCCTCCCGCGTCAGAGGTGGGGGTCGCCGAACCACTGCAGAGCCGCAGTATCGTCACCGTGGCGCCAAGCAGGGGCGCCTGAGGCCAGGGTGAGGGGCGCTGGGGCTGGGAGAGAGGGAAGGTCAGTGCAGGCCCGGGTCCTGCTGCTGCCGCGGACGCAGGCCGGGGCCACGCTTACCAGTGGCTGCAGCAGCTCCAGGTGGGCGAGCGTCCGGCACAGGAGACCCACACAGGCCGCCTTGGAGGGGAGGAGCGTGTCCACCGTCACGGAAGCGCCCCCAGTACCGTCCAACGAGTCTAGAAGCCAAGCCAGAAGCAGCTCTCCATCAGCGGCGCCTCCCGTGTAGCCACTGCAGGCCTGGCTGCCGGCCATGGGCCCTGTGGCCGTCACCCCACGCTGAAGACCAGGACCACAGCTTCCCAGCGGGTGACGTGCCCAGGCTGACATGGGCTGGCCAGACCTGGGCTCTGAGCCTGTCTGCCGGGCGCCCGAGCAGTAGAGCCCAGCTCTGCCCACAGCCCGTTCTTGGGCCGATCCCGCTGCTCAGGACATTCGTCTCTGTGCTCGGCACAGGGCCACCAGGCACCCCTGGGTCCCCTTCGCTAGTCCTCAACACACTGTGTGGCTGAAGCAAGACAAGTACGGCAGGGGCGGTCGCCCTGCCCCGGTCACAGAGTCTAGATGCACCCAGTCTAGATGCCAGCGTGTGCCTGTCCTGGGTCGGGAACCAGCATGTGGTGCAGGCCCGTGTAACCACCCAGCTGTTCTGGGGCCACGTGAGATGATGCCCGCGGGGGGCGAGGCTGCCCCGCTAATTCCAGGGTAGGGACACGAGAGGAGCAGCAGCCACGTGTGTGACAACAGGCTCCCCTCCACCACTTGTACAGTCAGTGGGGGCAGCGAGCCACCTGCCCCCACACCAAGGACGTGCCCAGGGCCCTCGGGGGCTGCCTTCCTGCACCCGCCCACCCTCAGGAAGCAGCATACCTAGGAGTCCGGGGGCCTGAGCGGTGGCTTCAAGGACACAGGTCAGGGGCTGGAGGAGGACAGCAAAGGCCTGGGCCCTCAACGCCTGTGGACTGAGCACAGAGGACACGGTGAGTGCCCTTTCCCGACCCTGGGGTGAGGTGGCTACTACCCCTCTAACATCCCCAGCAAGTCTGGGGCAAAGAGGCAGTGCTGGGACTCTGGACGCTCCCTTGAGAAACAGCTTCTTTTCAAGCACTGTGACCGGCACTCAGGCCACCGGCATGTAGGCCACCAACGTGGGACCCCGCAGGAGCACCTCCCCAGGCCCCAGGAACAGCCCTAGGAAGGAAGGCCTCATCACACGTGCTCCAGGGGACAGTGCCCGCTCAGGACCAAGGGACGGGAGGCCCCACCTCCCAGGAGAGTCGCTGCTGCTCTGTCTCCCAAGTCCTTGGGCTCAGGGTGGGGTGGGGGACTCGGCCAGCACACAATTCTGCCCCGGGGGCTGCCCGGTCCTCCCCTTTCAGCCACTACCTCCTCATGAACACCCGGAGAGCCTGGAGTTGAGAGCCAGGCCCACGTCAGATACACAGCCCCTCTGGTGAGTGGGTCCTGTGGTGACTTTCACCCCCAATCTGGGCCAACACGACCACCTCTCATCTGCCCACAACCCTACAATGACCTCCTCGTTCTTCCCATCTCTGGACTCAGGCATCCTTCCCTTACCTGCAGGAAGCTGGCCAGCCTCTCCTGCCTACTGGGTCCCCCCTACTGTCCCAGGGCCCCAGCGCCGTGCACACCATGGCAGCCCAGGATCTATAAGCTAAGGCCGCTGGGGAGGGGAGGGAAGCAGGGGGCGGCAGAGAGAGCAGACCCTGGGTACGAACCTAGCCCTGCTCTGAGCAGAGCAGCTCAGAGTCTGCTCTATCTCCGGGGAGCCTCTAAAGCTCGTGTCTGAAGTAGTTATTGTGTCGCTGCAGCGTGCAGGAAGCCACAGCAGACGGCAATGCCTCTGTAGTAACTGATATCCCACCAGGCCACACTGCCGACGGCCACCTCTGACTCTTCTCTAGTTTCAGGAGCTCCCTGAAAGCCCCCCGGCCCCCAGGCAGGGGCTGAGACCTCTCTCTGCCTGTCCTTGCGCAAAATAAACCCCAATCCTTACCACTCCTGCAGTTTCAGGATCCCCAAAGCCAACGGCCCTGCTTGGGTGGGGCTCAGATGGCTCAGAGTCTGTGCTAAAGTCTCCCACAGGCCACAGCTGGACGAACTCAGCACCGGAGAACTGCAGAGGACCCCAGAAAGAAAGTTACTTCTCTGTCCTGTCCCCCAAAGCCCGTGCAGTGTCCAGTGGGACTGCCACAGCCCCGGGGCCACGCACGCCCAGCTGAGACGGAGCCTTTCTAGGTGTGCGGGCTTTCAGACCCCCTCTGGCATTCCCTCTGCCGCCGGCGGTGGCCCCAGGTGTAACAGCCACTCTAAGGCTTCCCAGGGAAACAAGCGCCCCTAACTCCTGCCCACTCCCAGCTGCAGTCCCCAGGGGACTGACCGGGCCACGCTGAGGAGGAGATCCACGAGCGAGTGTGCAGCGGGGACGGGGTCTTTCTCGAGCAGACAGGCCACAAGGGGACTCAGCCGCACCCACAGGACTTGCGTCCAAGGGTCGTGGCAGTGCCCGAAAGTGGTGGTCAGCACGTTTAGAGCCTGTGTGATCTGCGGGGTGGCTGCGGAGCGCAGGGACTCCTCGATGTGACTCACTATCTTCTGGGCACACACTGGCCAATCACCAGTCTGCAGGCCAGGGTGTCCCTCAGCTGCACCTTGCAGAGACAAGCCCAGGATGTGCACCAGGAGCTGCCCAGCTGCCGAGGCCACAAACAGGCTGGAATCTCCCTGCAGGGAGAAGATGGTGTCAACGGCACCTGGGGTTGGGGACAGGGACAGGAAGAGAAGAAAACGGGGTTCAGCTGGAACAGAATCCAAATCTGCTTTAACTTCAGAGCCTCAGGGGAACAGCATGAACGCCGCAAGCCCCAGGAGGCACCGCGAGGGCCCCGCCTCCCCTCTGCTCAGAGGCAGA